TGCTGTTTGTAATATAAGTATACAAATGCATTTTATGCTATAAAGAGTTAATGTACTCTTTAAAGTTAAAAGACTTAGCTATACATGATTCTCTTCAATTAGTCTCTGTATCCCTCTCTCTCTCTACCTCCCTCCCTCTCTCCCTCCCTCCCCCCTCTCTCTCCCTCCCTCCCCCCTCTCTCTTTCCCCCCTCCCTCTCTCTCCCCCCTCCCTCTCTCTCCCCCCTCCCTCTCTCTCCCCCCTCCCTCTCTCCCCTCCCTCTCTCTCTCCCTCCCTCCCTCTCTCCCCTCCCTCCTCTCTCTCCCTCTCTCTCTCCCTCCCTCCCTCTCCCTCCCTCCCTCCCTCTCTCTCCCTCCCCCTCTCTCTCCCTCTCTCTCTCTCCCCCCTCTCTCTCTCCCTTCCTCCCTCTCTCTCTCTCCCTCTCTCTCTCCCCCTCTCTCTCCCTTACTTTTCTAGCAGTCTCCTGTCTATTGTGCATCATAGTATCACGTAGGGCAGTCACGTCACTCAGCGCCTGGTCCCTCTCTCTCTTCATTGATTGTAAACTAGCAGAGAGTGTTGCCATTTCTCCTTGGAGTGAATCCAACTGTCTCTTATTCTCATCATCAGTAGGAGACACAGGAGGAGTAGACTTGAGCTGTTCTGAGAGCAACTTGTACATATTAACCTGTGTACATGTACATGGATCAATATTAAGAGAAGATAATTATTTAGAGCTACATATGTACATGTACATGTATCTATCTACTCTTCTATTATATTACATGTATTTTATTATAGTAATGCAAATGCACACAGAATCACTATACATTTAAAAGCCTATAGCCATGTACTAGCTACTAATACTTCTATAGGAAAGCATGCTTAATGAGCTTGCTTTTGTAGTATGTTAACAAACAATTACAAATGTCATTTCTTAACTACATCATTATCTTTTATTAGATTAAAGACAAATATTTTGGCCCTTTAGACTCAATTAGACTACTATTCACAATTGCAAAACAAAGCCACTACAATACACAGTACAGTGCTACTAACTTCATTCTGTAAATCACTCATTTTCCCCTGGAGTGTCTGTACTTCTTTCGCCTGCCGAGTCATTCTACGCTTCATTTCGTTCTTCTCCTCCTCAACTTCCTCCAGCCTCAACTGTGCCTGGTGTAAAGCCGAGCGTAGGCCAGACTCCTCGGAGGTGTGGCTAGTTATTAACTATCAATTGGAGGTGTTAATGGGGGCTGGTTTAAAGGTTCGGGTGTACTTTAGTTTTGTTGGATAGAGAGAGGGAGAGTCGCTCCTTTTCTCTTTGAGTGTGTTCTAGTTGATGTCTTAGACTCTTCATCTCCTCTTTGAGTTCAGAGCATTCGACTAAAATAATAATAATAATAATAATAATAATAATAATGATAATGATAATAATTGATGATGATGATGACACCTCATTATAGTACACGTTTCATGACACATTTTCATAATATTTGGATAAAATTGATATTGAAAACTTCATATTTATCACATGTACATGTGTATATGTAG